CGGGAGAAAGATGAGGCTTTCTACTCCCGTAAAGATTTACACCCTCGGAAACCCTGTACAGGGTCGCTATGGGTTGGAACCGACTCGATGGCACTTAACAACAACAACAACGCTACCACCCAATTACTCAGAGCAGAGCAGAGCAGAGCAGAGTAAGGATTTGAATTCAGGTATGTTTTGTTCCAGACTCCTGTTGTGGTGCTGTAGGATCAGCACTGGGCTGTGAACCACAAGGTCAGCAGTTCAAACCCACAAGCTGCTCCCTGGGAATCCTATACAGGGTTACTAGGAGTTGGAACTGACTTGATGGCATTTAACAACAACAACATTTTGTTTCAAACTCACTATATAATGCTGTCCTAAAATAAAAAAATCAGAAAAAAAAAATTTTTTTTTAATGGAAACCAAAGAGGCAAGGTTTATAATCTCAGTTATTTGTTAAGCCAGAAAAACTGTAGGCAGATGCATGCATTTATTTGATGATATGATTATGTGAAAGCTCAAGTTATAAAAAGACAGTGAGTGTGACATCCTAATGTTAGAGCTTTTTGGGGAACTGACTCCTCTTGCTGGGGTGACCTTTGACAAGCCATTCTGCGTTCCTGTTTTTAAGTAAAAAAGTGTGTTGAAGATGAAAATTTGATATTTGGCTGATACGAGCACATCTTTGTCTCCTTAGTGTATTTTGTGCTTGCTACTCATTTCCGTTGCCTTGCTAAGTTCCTTCAACTGAAGTTCCCACTTCTTACACTCTCTTCTTCCTTTTCTGGATAACTGGACACATACTGTGTACTGTGCCTTGGATTTGGAGAAATGTCTGGTAAAGTGGCGGAATGTGATGATGGGCATTGCCAAGAAGCAGAAGATAGTGAGGGAGAATGAGACAGAAAACAAAAGAGGGCAGAATTCTTGTGATGACGAAGTAGGCTGCATCTGCTATGACATTACAAGATATGCCCCAAATTTGACATGAACCATTTTTCACTTCTGGTGGACCGTGTCAACCCTGTATGCTATTGGCAGAACATTGGCTCAGATCCCAACGAGACCCATGCCGATGGATGAAAGGGATTTTTTGTTTCTCTGCTCAGGTTTTTCCTTGGCTCCGTGTCCTTGGACACCATTTAGCCGCCTGACTTCTGAAGATTGGCTTGTGTGCACCCGGTGGAAACCAGAAGCAAATGAAAACACCAGGTGGAAATGAGAAATGGGGAATAAAGAAACCAAGTCTGAGCACCAGGAAGCTGGAAACTCCCTCTTGTCTTGGTGTGGGGTCCTCGTTTCTTTCCCACTTCCTTAAATCACCCTTGTGCATAGTTGTTGTTGTTAAGTGCCATCGAGTCGGGTCCGACCCATAGCGACCCTGTACAGGGTTTCCGAGGGTGTAAATCTTTACGGGAGTAGAAAGCCTCATCTTTCTCCCGCGGAGCGGCTGGTAGTTTCGAACCGCTGACCTTAAGGTTCGCAGCCCGATTCGTAACCACTACGCTAACTTGTGCATAGTAGGTGCTTCTTAATTGTCTTCTGGAATGGTAAAACTACATGAGCCAGATACTCTACTGTTCTTCTCAAAGACCATTTTGGCATCAACTTAAAGATCTTGGACATCCTGGAGCCCACCTCCAGCAGAAAGCCCACTCAAGGGGCTTCCTATGGACAACTTTGCTGGGGGGAGGGGAGGCTCTCACACCACCTTGCTCCACTTAATATAAGACCAACAACTTTCTCTAGCTTTGAGGTTTCTCTTGTCAGAGTTTCCAGAGGGATGTTCAAAGCAGTTGGGACCACTGACTTCAGCCCTACCTGAGAGGACAGATGGGATCCTAGTATTTCTGAGGACACCCCAGGCCACTGTCTAGCTTGAAAACCTCATTGTGTAGCACACAGGGACTTTGCTGCTGTCCCAGAGGTGAGCACCCCCAGGGAACCTGGGCTTACAGGGGTCCTGCGGGTGAAGTCTGGAGAGTCAGTAGTCACGGGATAGCAAGCAAAGGAGGAAGACGAGGAGGAGGAGGGGGAGAGAGAAGAAAGAGAGGGGAGGAAAATGAGGAGGAAGAGGAGGAGGACAGACAGGAGGAGGAGGAGGTGGGAGGAAGTCCTTGGTGGCCGCTCGGAGGGAAGGCGGGAGTGTGCCCGCGGGGCCTGAGTCAGGAGGCGAGGGGAGGCGGGCCTGCACCACGGGCTGGCGGGCGCCGGAGGTTGGGGGGCACCAGCGGTTGGCACGCGC